ATAACAAGACCTATAGCTCTTTTGGCTCTAGGTGACAACTTATATAATTCTTTTAAAATTTGCAGGCTTTTACCATCATACCAAATATCATCTAACTTTACCGGTATCATAACGAAAGGAGGATTCTTCAAAATAATTACTGAATCATCCTTGGTAATAGAGCTAATAAAGTTAGAGATTTTACAATGAGAACCACTTACATTGTATCTTGGATAATCACCAGTGATCACATTACTACCAATTAATAAGACATATGGTTCAGGTACATAAGACATAACTTTGGCATTTGTAACATTATCTCCCTTGCATTTATCTTTTGGGACACAGGAAATATTTATCGAATCCATACTAGCAACTAATTTCCACAATTCCGTTTGAAAGCTCTTCATATCAATAGTCCACATTCCTCCCACAAATCCTTTCATAGGAAGTTCAGAACTATATGTATGAAGAGGTGACCAGTCTAATAACATAGGGTAGTCCAAGCGGGGCAGCATTCCAACTGTTGGTCCTTTAAAAATTACATTACCAGTACTGATGTTAGACAAGAGAATGGCCATAGCACTGTTATGATTACATTTTCTACAAAGTGATTGTCAGATGCCAGTACGACCTTTCTCAAAACATGAGGGAAAAGTTGGCGTCTGCTGGAAAGATGGTGTTAATTCTACCCGTGCCATATTCAGAAGCTCGTTGGTCAAAAGCCAAATAATTCAATTGTACAGTCCATGATGGGCTTCTACTGTCTGAAGATACTCTTTGCATCTTATTAACAAACACCTGTTTTTTTGGTATGCTTTTGGTAAAACAGATGGGATATCCTGAAGCATACCCAGAATAATTGAATGGTCTTTCTTCCCATTTTATATGACTATTAGAGGGATATCCTAAAACATAATTATTGTTAACATAAACAGGTATGGGAGACTCATTCCATGTTGCCAGGTGCAGGAGCGGAGGATCTGGTACATATGCCCAATAGGTCTCTTCCATCATCACCAGACTAATGCTGCACATGACACTCAGGCAGCCAACGAGGAGCTTGTTCATTCTGTGGAAAAACACAAACATGGCCTCAACCCCAGACCAGAACTGGATCAGGCCCTGTCCATTTGTTATTCATTGGATCTTTCCATTTTACCTCTGCATACTTGACAGGTTTATTTGTCCATTGCCTGTCTGCCGCAGAGCGGCCACCTTGGCTTAAAATTAAGGAATTTAAAATGAACATCATTGCTTGTGTATCCAGGGGCATTGTCAGTTTTTATACATTTAAGCAGACCTTGGATGGATAACATCCACTCGCCAGTTATGCTTAGGAAGTGAACCACGAGGATTTACTCCATACTGAGGAACTGACTGAAAAGGAATACAAGATTCACATTTTACAAGAACATCAGAAATTGGTTAACAAAACTTTAGGAAATAATTTATCTTCTGGATAACGATGAGTAATTTGACCAGGATAATTGGCTAATGCAATTATCCATTCTGAGCAATATTGATATAGCCAATTAACTAGTAAAGCATTATAACAGACAGTGATTTCATAAGGTCTTATATCAAAATATTGTCTTTCCTGACTGTGCTATTAATCGAGATACAGCCTGTGGACAAGTCTGCAAAACCTTTTACATGAACAGGATAAATCATCTTAAAAGAGCAATCTGTCATGATACAGCAGTAGGAGTACTTCTAGTATCTAAAATACACAGCAATA